TTTACAACTCATAAACTCCTGTGGGTGATGCAAGCACATGTATTTCCATGTATACATTATTTCACAGCCTGAGGGTACAGACACTATTCTGGGAGCCCTAGTACAGTTTGTATGCAAACCCCAAGCCATCATTAGAGAGTTTTCTCTCTTTAAGCAGTAGTACAATAACGAACCATTAATGTTTCATCACTACCCAAGGCCAGAATTCATACAAATCTGGGCTTTTCAGTGTGCCCCTATCAGGCTATAAGCTGAACCTGTTGTTTTACTGTGTAACTCTGATTCCTGACTTACTAAAAACTGTGGGCCCTCAGGTTTTATAAAAACACTTAATATTAGACTTAGAAAGGATCTTAGAGATGTCTGAGTACAATCATATCTTTCCCCACTCTAATCCAACCTCCACTCGGCTGTCAAAGTGATTTTCCTAAAGAGTGGATCTGACCACATCACCACTCTGCTCATTAACCTCAGCCAGCTCCTTGTTGCTTCCAGGATCAAATACAAAGTCCTCTCTTTGCCATTTAAAGCTCCTTACAACCTGACACTTTCCTATCTTTCCAAGCTTCTTATACTTTACTACCCTCGATGAACTCTGTGACACAACTAACACTTGCCTACTTGACATTTCCTCACAGATGACATTCCATCTTTTCATGCCTGGAATATACTCCCTCCTCACCTCTATTTCTTAATTTACTTGGCTTCCTTTATAACTCAGATCAAATCCTGCCTTCTATAGAAGACCCTTCCTGGTCCTCCAGGAGTCTACATAGAACCAGGTCATTGCTTTTCCCTCTAGAGGACATGTTACAACACCAACAAAACTCAGCAGGAAGGCATGGAAAGAGAAACTCCATTCAGAATAACTACTTGATATATACAATATTTGAGAATCTACCTGCTATGGCAGACACAGGAACAATATGAATACAACTACAAAACATTTTTATAAACATCAACAGACATTAATTAGAAATATATTAATTGTTCTAGGTTGGGATGTGCCAATATAATAAAAGTGACAATGTTATCTAAATCTATTTACTTTTTCAGTCCCATTCTAATCAAACTATCAAACATTTACTTTATGGAACTAGGGTAAATAATTTAAAAAATCACCTGGAGGATCAAAATGTCAAGAATCTCAAGGGAAGTAAAAAAAATTGGAAGAAAGGCAGCTTAGCAGTACCATATCACAAACTCTACTACAATGCAGAAACAAACAGAATTATGTAGTACTAGTTAAGAAACAGAAAAGTCATTAGTTGTAGGAACATATAGATGAAAACAAACAGTACTATAGTGGTTGATAAACTGAATGGCCCCAACTATCAGCCTCTGCATCTGACAAATATTGTTGGGAAAATTGGAAAGAAGTTTAGCAGACATTATGTTTAGACCAGCATCTCATTCCATAAACCACATAAAAGTTTCAAATGGATATATAACCTAGGTATAAAATGTCACATCATAAACAAATTAGAACAACAGAGAAGGAGATAACTTTTTGCACCTATGGAAAAAGTATGGAAAGAAAGTTCTCAACTAAACAAAGGGCAGAGAGGATTTACAAGGCATAAAATAGATAATTTTAACCACAAAGAATTGAAAAGCTACGCAAACAAAATCAATGTGGTTAAAACAAGGAGGGAAACAGTAAACTGTGAAAAAATATTTGCAAAAAGTTTCTCTGACATCCAAGATACGTAAGGAACTGATTCAAATATTTAAGAACAAGAGCCATTCTCCAATAAACATTAAATGGCCAAAGGATACAAAGCAGCAAGTTCTCAAAGGAAGAAATACATGCTGTCAACAACCATATGAAAAAATGCTCCAAATCACTAATAACAAGAAAACTTCAAATTAAAACAGTTCTGAGATTCTATCTACCAACCATTAGATTGGCAAAGCTGACATAAAAAGGAAAAGAATAATTGTTACAAGGGCTGTGGAAGAACAAATATACAAATGCACTGATGGTGGAACTGTGAATCCAACTAATTCAGCCATTATAGAAAACAATTCAGAGCTAAAAGTCACTGAACTGTGCAGACTCTTTAACCTACACTACTAAGCATAATCAGCAAAGATAGAAAAAAAAAGTAGGAAAAGATATGTACAAAAATATTCATAGCAGCACTTGTTATTGTAGCAAAAAACTGGAAAGGAAGGAGGTGTTGTTCATCAATTGGGAATGACTGAACAAATTATGGCATGTGGCGGTAATGGAATAATATTGCATCATTAAAAATAATGGAAAGGATTGGATTCAGAGAAAATTAGACTCATATGAACTGATGCTAAGTAAAATGAACAGATCAAAAACAAGCGATGCAATGACTACAATAGTATAGAGAAACACAGGTTGGAGAGACTTAAGAACTAATTGATACAATGAGCAACACTTCTTTATGAGATCATTGATATTGATTCTGCCTACCTCCTAAGGGAGAAGTAATCAACCCAGGATGCTGAATGGGATATGCATTTTTGCTCATAGTGAATAGGAGGTGTTTTACTTGACAATACTTCTTTGTTACAAGGAAGAGTTTGTTTTTAATTTTTGGGGAAGGAATAGGAGCTCAAGGAGGAGGAAGAATAGCAATAGTAAGGCTGAAAAAAAAGAAAGAAATAAAACTGTCATTGGGCAGTTTTTTAAATGTATTTAACAGAAAGAAGTTCAGAGGAAGAAGCAAACAAGAAAAACAACTTTGAAACTAATATTTTATTTATTCACTTAAAAAAATAAGTTGTCTGGAATAGAGTCTCAGGTTCATATTCAAACCTATTCTGTTCTTTTCTGAAGATGGAAATGTTCATGTTTGCTGATATATATCAAGTTCAGAATGACAAAAAATAAAAATGATTAAAAAGGAAAAAATAATGATTCAGTCACCTAAGGACTTTAAGTGTTAATAACTTGCTAAGTGATTTCCTTCTCTAAGCCTGTTTCATCATCTATAAAGTGGTCATTGTATCACTTGTTCTGGATCTGCTCATTTTGCTCAGCATCAGTTCATATGTCTTCCTAATTTTCTCTGAATCCAGCCTTTCCATTATTTTTTATGATGCAATATTATTCCATTACATTCTCATGTCATATTTTGTTCAATCATTCCCAATTGATGAGTAGGGAATAGAGGTTTTCTAAAGGCTCTTCTACTTCTAAAATGTTATGTTCTAAGTGCCTTCCAGCTGTGGCAGCTGGGTGGCACAGTGGATAAAGTACTGGGTCTGTAGTCAGGAAGATGTGAGTTCAAGTCCAGCTTCAGACATTCACTAACTGTGTAACCTTGGGCAGATCATGCAATCCTGTTTGCCTCAGTTTCCTCATCTATAAAATGAATTGGAGTAGAAAATGGCAAATCATTCCAGTATCTTTGCAAAGAAAACCCCAGACTGGGTCATGAAGAGTCAGAAATGACTGAACAACAATAACCTTCCAGCTCTACAATCTAGAGTTTATTCCAGCTTTGAAATTTTATGCTCTGTGTTCTGACATTTTTGTTTTAACATCTCGTTTATATTCCATATCAGAAGGTTCTTTCTAGCTCTAACATTGTAAGGTCTCTTTCAGTCATAACATAGTAGCAATCTATTACAGCAGAAGGGGTGGAGAAGAGAAGTGGTAGGTAGACAGAATGAGGAGAAAAGGGAGCAAACACCATAGCCATCCCCCCACCCCAGGCAGTCCCTTACTCAAGAAGAGATAGTCAAGCGTAATGAAAAGAGCTCTGGTTCTAGAGTCAGAGAGCCTGGGATAAAAGTCCACCTCTGATGACTATTATCTGTACAACCTTTGGCATGTTAACTAACCTGCTGGGCCTCAGTTTCCTCCTCCAGCAAATGATGGCCTTTGACTGGAGAGCCTCTGAGGTCCCTTCCAACTCTCCAGATCTATGATGCTACAGCTTGGGGAAAGTAGGGGAGAGAAAAGAGAAGGGTCAATTATCCAAGTCCTACCTTACCACCAGACACACAGAAAGCATGAGAAAATAATTCAAATAATTTTACTCATGTCTTATCTGCCTTAGGCACTGCCTCTCTCAAACCCAAGAGAGCTTGTTTTCTTCCCTAAACCTTAGAATATAGTGTTAAACCTAGAAGAGACCATAGGACATAAAATATTAGACCTAGAGAAACTTAAAATACAGAATTATGGAAATTAGAACACAGAATGTTAGCACTGGAAAGCTCCTTAGAACTTAGAATATTGGAACAGGGGACATAGAATATTAAAACTAAATTATAAAGACCTTCTAGTCCAATTTCCTTATTTTACAGGTCAGGAAAGTAAGGCAGAGAGAGAAGTGACTGCCCAGCTGATAACTACTTTCCAAGAGTTGCAGATGAGCACACATGGGTCCAATAGGGCAAATCCACAGTAGACTCCCTTTCCCGGACACCCAACTCCAGAATAAATTACTAGAATCCTTCTGTTTTCCATGACCCTGAGAATTTGCAGAGCCCCAAATGGAGAGTCTCCTGTCCCTTTCCTCACTTTCCTGCTTTATTCAGGGAGCAGACCTCCCCACCCCCAGGATCAGGGCAGGTGAATGACCAGCATGAGCCCTACCTGCAACAGGGGTCCCAGGAGCAGAAGACATAGTTTGCAGCAATAGCAACACACTGAGTGAGAGATGTAGCCTTGGGGAGAAAAGAAGTGAGAAAGGTCAGGATGGAGAGAAAAAGACAAAGTGGGAAATAAGATAAAGAAAAGGAAATGGAGAGGGAGAGAGATGAAGCAGAAAAAGGGAAAGGAAGAAAGGAGGGAAAGAAAAAAGAGAAAGAAATGGGAGAAGATAATGTGAAGGAGAGGAGGTAGGTAAGGACATGGGGGTCAGAATAAGAGGAAAGGGGAGAGAGAAATAGTAGAGGGGAAGGACAGGCGAGAGGAAGAAAGGAAGAGTAAGGGAAAGGGGAGGGGGGGGAAGACAAGTGAGGAGACAGAAGAGCCCCGACTGGGAGCAATAATCTGCCCTGACCGAACTTACAGCTCATGGTGGGCAGAGGGAGTTTAACAAAGCCTAGACGCTGGCAGGCAGCTGGCCTCCGTCCTCTCGGTGCCAGGAGCCCTGACCAGTGCGGGCTCCAGCCTCTTGTAGCACTGGGCTGCCTGTCTCGCCTCCTCCCAGTGTTTCTCCTCGCACTCCTGCTCTCTAAACCTCCAGCCAGCCCCGCCCTCTAGGACAAGGGGGGGTAGAGGGAGGGATGAATGGGGCCCCATGGGGTCCTGCAGTCATCGGGGAATCTGTGGAGCGGTTTCCTGGACTTTTAGAATAGTAGACTCACATAAAATGAAAGGAAGCCGCAAATGCAAACTCCCGCTAAGAGCCCTCTATAAAATCAATGACTAAAGGTTGCTTGAACTCTTCCAGGAACCGGTCCTTCAGTACCTGGGAGGGCAAGAAGCTCCTTTTGTGGTTAATTTCATGTTAAATTACTTCTTTCTACTAAGCTGAACTCTGCCTCCCGTATCTCTCACACCTCACCGTCCCCTCTTCTATACCAGGTGGTCTGGTTCTGGAATCTTTTCACTGTCTGCACTGCACGAACTATTGTTCCTAAAACAGGATCATGGAATTATAATATTTAGAACTGAAAGGAACCTTAGAGAACATCTAATCCACCATGACCCACTTTCCAGAGAAGGAAGCAAAGGCCTAGGAAGGGAAGTGACTTGCCTGAGGCCCTCCCAGCTAGTAAATAGCAAAGTCAGGATGGAAACACAGGTCTGATTCCAAACGGACAAAATAGGCATGCCTGTTTCTCATTTCTGAACCTGACCCATTCTCCTGCCTCGGTTTCCTCAGCTCCAAGCTAGAGAATAGTGAAAAGGGCACAGAATTTGAAGTAAATAAAAGAAACCTTCAGTTTGAATCCCAGCTCTATTACTTACTATCAGTGTGACCTTGGGGAAGTCACCCTTTATGGCCTCTGTTTCATCACCTGGAAAATGAGTGGGTTTGATCACATGATCTCTTCCTCCTCCAAGTCCTGCGATCATACAGGTATAGGAACAATAGGCATCCCTGAGTTGCAGTGTGTCAAGGACTCCCTTAAAGCCAACACTAAAGATCTTCTCTCTGCTGTTCCATAGTAAACCAGTGGAGAACATTGCCACAAGAAAAGGATGAGGCACCCGCTCTTCTGTCCCCACCCAGGCAACTCCCAAGCTTCTCCCTTAAAAGCCAGTGGCTCTAGGGCCTGCACAGATTTGGGAGGTGAGACAGGAGAAGGAGGAGGAGGAGGAATGGGAGACCACAAGGCACTCACCCACCTTCTGGAGAAAACAGTGACAGCCTTTCCCTCCCATTCAACCCAGAGTAAAGTTCCTCCCTCCGAGATACTGCATAGAGGAAGGTAAGGAGGCTGTCACTTCAGGAAATGAGGCATTTTATGAGGGGGGGGTTAGTGTTTTGGGTGAGGGATTTATTATGTTCTCCTATGGAAAGGAGACTTGGAACATCCTATAGTATGCTTCCTTCCCCTTCTTTCTCATAAGGAGCCAGTGCTACCACAGAAGCTTTAAAGAATGGTGCAGGAGAAACTTGCTGCTTCCTGGCCTCCTCTGTGCCTAAAGGCTTAACAATTATCCCTAGGTTTAACAATTACCTTAGCCCTACCCTTTCTCCTCCCCAAAAAGTAACATGGCATAATCTAAAGGGAACAGGATTAAAAATCTTGAGATCTCGATTCTTCGAGTCCAGACTTTGCCACTAAGTTGTGTCATGTTGGTTCAATCCATTCTCCAGACCTGTTTTCTCATCAGATAAATGAGGAAGTTGGATCAGATGATTGCTAAGGTACTTTCTACTTCTAACAGAGAATGTTATAATGACTCCCAAGCACATCCTCACCACGCAGATTTTTATCCTCAGCCATCATCATCATCTCCCTCCACTCTCAAAATCAGACTTCACCCCTGGGTCCCCTGGCCTTATCCTGACCAGAGCCAGGCTTTTACTCCATCTCCACATTGTATTACCATCCTGGGTTTCCTCTCCCCACTTTTCCCTCCCCTTTAGACTTTAAGTTCTTCAAGGGAAGGAATGATCTCCCTTGCCTGCATTGGCATCCCCAGCACTGAGCAAAATAAGCACTTGAGAAATGCTTCACCTATAGGTGTTCAGAGATCTCTTCCAGCTCTGACATTTGTTGTACTTGGTTCCCTTTCAATGCTAACATTTTATGTTCCACAGGCTAACATCCTATGCCCTAAAGTCCTTTTCAACTTGGATATTCTTTAATTTTTAGGAGGCAATATGACATAGTTAATATAAGGAGTTTGGGACCTAAAGTCAAGAGACGGAGGCTTGAATCTCACCTCAGATATTGACTCTCTGTCAATCACTTCCTTTCAGTGCCTCCATTTCTTCATCTGTAAAATGGAGATAATAATGTTCACACTACCTGCCTCATAAGGTAATTATGAGGAAAGTGCTTTGCAAACCTTAAAGTGCTATATAGATATGAGTTATTATATTCCAAGATTATTATATTCCAGATTTCCTATTCTATGGTATATAAATGGGAGTTATTAGTATATTCCAAGGTCCCTTCAAGAAGTTTTCTTATTCTATGTTCTAAAGCCTTTTCCACCTCTAATGATCTATCATAAATCATTAGATGTCATGGAACCTCAGAATCTTGCCAGACTGCTCAATGAGATTGGCCTAGCAGTCCAAAGAGGAGAACCTAAGGAAATGAATGCATAGTTCTCAGTTTATGAATGAACTTGGATAGGCAAGCCCACAAAGAAACAAGATCAGTTGTTAAGAAACACAAAGGACAGCATGGCCAAGAAGGAAAAACAACACCAAGAACTGACAAACTACTGCTGAAAAACAGATAAATTAATACTCAGAAAACAAACCAAGATCTTCAGAGGGATGCAGGAGATGGAGGAGTTATTAATTCCTACAGTAAGACCTATGCTTCTGAAAGTTGAAAAAATAGGAAAAAGAACAGTTGTTTTTCTTAAAGCTGAGAAACACAAATCAAAACAACTCTAAGGTCTTACCTCAGCAAATTGGTAAAGATGACAAAAGAAGGGAATAGTCAATATTGGAGGGATTGTGGGAAGCTAGACACACTAATGCATTGTTGATGCAGTGATGAATTAGTCCAACTATATTAGAAAACAATTATGGAAATAAAATGACTAAAATTTTAATCTTCTTTGATCCAGAGAGTCTACTGCTATATGCCCCAAGGAGATTATTGATTTAAAAAAAGGATCCATATGTACACCAAAATATTTATAGTAGCACTTTTTGTGTTACAAAAGAAATGGAAACAAAGCACAAGCCTATCCATTAGGGCAATACCCAAACAAATTGTGGTACATGAATATAATGGAATAATAATGTGCTGTAAGAAATGATGAATATATAAAGCAGCAATCATCAAACTATTTGGTACTAGCTAAGAAATAGAGTGGTGCATGTATAAAAATATTTATAGCAACTCTTTTTGTGGTGGCAAAGAATTGGAAATTGAAGGGATGTCCATCACTTGGGAAATGGCTGAAAAGTTGTGGTATATGAATGGAATGGACTCACTATTTGACAAAAATTGCTGGGAAAACTGGAAAATAGTATGGCAGAAACTAGGCATAGACCAACATCTTATACTGTATATCAAGACAAGGTCAGAATGGGTATGTGATTTAGACATAAAGGGTTATCACCCTTTTATCACCTTATCACCATAAGCAAAATAAGAGAGCAAAGAATAGTTTACCTTTCAGATCTATGGAGAAGGGAAGAATTTATGACCAAACAAGAGATAGAAAACATTATGAAATGTAAAATGAATAATTTTGATTACATTACGTTGAAAAAGTTTTGCACAAACAAAGCCAAGGCAACCAAGATTAGAAGGAAAGCAGAAAGCTTGAAAGTAATTTTTATTGCCAGTGTTTCTGATAAAGACATAATTTCTAAAATAGAGAACAGAGTCAAATTTATAAGAATTCATAAGTCATTCTCCAGCTGATAAATGATCAAAGGATGTGAACAGGCAGTTTTCAGATGAAGAAATTAAAGTTATCTATAGTCATATGAAAAAATGCTCTAAATCACTATTTAATAGAGAAATGAAAATCAAAACAACTCTGAGGTACCACATCACACCTATCATATTGGTTAATATGACATAAAAGGAAAATGATGGATGTTGGGGAAGATGTGGGAAAATTGGAACACTAATGCATTGTCATGGAGTTGAGAACTAATCCAACCATTCTGGAGAGCAATTTGGAACTATGCCTAAAGGGCTGTAAAATCGTGCATATCCTTGGTTCTGTAATACCACTGCTAGGTCTGTATCCCAAAGAGATCAGAAAAAACCCACATATTCAAAAATATTTATAGCTGCTCTTTTTGTGGTAGCAAAGAATTAGAAATTGAGGGAATACCCATCAATTGGGTAATGGCTGAACAAGTTGTGGTATATAAATGGAATGGAATACTATTGTGCTATAAGAAATGATAAGCAGGCAGATAGATTTAAGAAAAGCCTGGAAATATTTATGTAAACTGATGTTGAGTGAAGTGAGCAGCACCAGAACATTGTGCACAGTAACAGTAACATTGTGCAATGTTCAATTTTGATAGACTTGGCTCTTGTCAGCAATACAATGCTCTAAGAGAATTCTAAAAAACTCATGATGGAAAATACTATCCATATCCAGAGAAAGAACTATGGAGTCTAAATGCAGATCAAAGCATACCACTTTCACCTTTTTTGTTATTGTTTTTTTCTTTCTCTTGGCTTTGCCTTTTGTTCTGATTCTTCTTTCACAACATGACTAATGTAGAAATATGTTTAATATGATTGTACATATATAACCTATATCAAATTGCTTGCCATCTTGGGGAGGGGAGAGAGGAGGGTGGGAGGGAGAAAAAAGGTTTGTTGGAAACTTTATGTGTAATTAGAAAAAATAAAATGCTATTAAAAAGAAATGATGGATGTTATAAATATAAAGAAGCATGGAAAGATTTACATGAACTGATGCAGAGAGAAATTAACGGAACCAAGAAAACAATATACGCAGACTACAACAATGTAAATGGAAAGGACAATAAACAAAAGTGAATGTTAACAAATTATAAAGAAGAAGGATGGCTCCAAATAAGTGATATGAGGAAACACTTTTCCAACTCCTTTGCAGAAATTAGAGGTACTCAGGTCTAGACGATAGATAGATGATAGATAGATAGATAGATAGATAGATAGATAGATAGATAGATAGATTTTATTGATGTATTGATCAATTTTGCTTTTTATATTTGCACTTTTTCTTTTAAAATATTCTTTCTTATATGGAATGGCTCTCTGAAAACAAAGAGGAGGGGAATGCATGAGAAAATTTAGTCTACATAAAAATAAATTCTGTCAACAAAAATTTATTTTAAAAAAATCTGCTAACCATAGCTCTGGTCTCTTACAGCTCTTACCCTCTGACCCTAGTAGATATGAAACAACAGGCAGGTCATTTTATCTCTATGAGCCTCAATTTTATCACCTGCAAAAAGGAAGATAAGAATAATTCTACTACCTAATTCACAAGATTGTTGTGAGGAAGCATTTTGAAAACTTTAAAATACTATATATACATCTGAATTATTATTGCTCTCCTTTTTTATCCCTAGTTCCCTTGGACCATCTGGAATCCTCATAAAGACATGGTCCCACAACTTGATCACTAGAAAATGAGTCAGCTAGCTAACTCCAGAACTTTGCCTTTGAACCTCTGCTTTGCATTGGTATCACTTTTCTCTATATCATTTTTGTATGCAGAATATTTATTTATTTGTTCTTCTCCCTCAGTAGACTAGAAACTAATTTAGAGGTAGGCTTGTGCCATGATCATCTTGGTAACCCTGATACCTTGCTGTGTTTTGCACATAGTATGCACTTTTTAAAATGTTTCTGGAATTAAATCCATATGTGTCTCTAATCGGTGAGCTCCATAGGGGCAGAGACCCATATATTGTTTACCTCTGTGTCCCTTTCTGCCTAGAAATGGTCCTACACAGAGCAGACCCTCAGGTCAATGTACCTTAGAACTTCAGAGTTGGAAGAGACTTAAAAACATTTCACCAGAAG